GATCTCTCAGAGCTACTTGGGTTGAACCTGGTGACCTTCATTCCACCTCCTCACATTTGCCTTTTTAAGATGACTCATCTTTAAAGGCCCAGGCTGAATGCTTCTTTTAGCAGGAATCTCACTAGTATCCCTCATCAGATGTAACTTTTTCTTCCCCTGGACCTTGGGTTTGATTATAGACCTAGTACAGTATTACATAGGTTGACTTACGCGTGCCACCTCTCAGTAGGTGTGGACTGACCCAGAGCAGGGATGGTTTGATTCATGTTTGTGCATCCGTCACTTCTAGTAAAGACACGGCTTGATTCAGGCATTGGGTCCATGGATTGCAATGCCCACCAGGCAGCTGTACTCACTGGGAGGCAATAAAGTGATTTGAAAACACAGACTCCTGGAGTCAGACACAGATTTGAACTTTGCTTCTGTTCCTTACAAGACATATGACTTTGCGTAAATTATTTAATCTCTCTGTCCCCCTTTATCTCCCATCTGAAGAATGGGAGATGATTTAAAAAAACCCACCATAACTTGTGAGGGCTTATGAGGTTCACATGGAGTAAGGCAGCATCATGGGACAGTTTAATACTGTACCCGGCTCACACATGGTGCTCAGGGGCAGGTAGCATTGGTTGTTTTTTTACTCTTATGTGCAAACACTTTTTTTTTTTTCTTAGACTGATCACATGGGATTGGGATTGTGTTCTTGCCTCATGGCCTGTGAGTCTCTGATGGTGGCCACCTGCCTCTGTACCCCCAGTGCCCAGCAAAGTAACCATAAAATTACCATCAGTGTTTGTTGATTGAGTGAATGAATCTGAGACCTTTTAACTGCAGCCTAGTGTTGTTCTACATGTGTAAGGTGCTGCTGCCATTGGTAGGCATTGCACTGCTGGGCTTTAAACATGAGTAAGATCAATGATTTCCTTGGCTTTAGAGAGTGTGAACCAGTATGAAAGACATACTTTCAACTTATGAATTTTAAAACAAACAGAATGAATTGCATTGTCCCAGTAAAGGATTGAGGAGGGTAGAAGCAAAGAGGTGGAGAGAGAACATAAGTGACCAAGGCAGGTGTGGGGGATGGCTTTATGGAGACAAAAACTCAAGACCACATTTAGGATGAACACAGTACTGACGGAAGAGCCTCATCTGTCTTTAAATTCTTATCATTCAGTAATGTCTCCTTTACTGTGAAGACACTTGTCTTGCCCCACACAATGTGATCCACCCTTCCTTGAACCTCCACGTACATTCTTTTTAAGGCCTTAATACAGTCTGTTACAGCCCTTTATAGCCCTCAGTGTTCAGGGGTGATCAACAAATATTGTCATATCGAATCACCGTTACACGCACAGTTTAGCACCTTGCCACTACCCTGACAGGCTCTTTTAGGGCATGAGCTGTGTCTTTGCAGTTCTGTAGCACACAGAATGCACCAGGCACCATGCCCGGCATCCCACAAATCCCTACAGACACCTGAGGAAGAAGATATTACGTATAATTTTTTAAAAAAATATCTGAATTTTATTTTTAAAAATTTTTATTTTTTTTAAAAAAATCTAAACTTATCTAAATTTTAAAATAAGGAAACCAAGGCTCAAGTTGTGCAGGAAATTGGGGCAGATTGGAACTCATTTCTTTTCTTTTTTTAGTTGTAGTTGGACACAATACCTTTATTTTATTTATTTATTTTTATGTGGTGCTGAGGATCCACCCCAGGGCCTTGAATGCGCTAGGCAAGTGCTCTCCCACTGAGCCCCAGCCCAGCCCTAGAACTCATTTCTTTTGTACTCTAATCTGCTGCTCTGAACTCCACAGCATACTCCACAGGGAATCTAGTGCAAGGCTTAACAACTATTAAACAGACTGAATTTACTGAGCAAACTTGAAACATATGTGTCTCATTCGGGGACAATCAAGGCTAGAGCAAGGTTCAGCCGTATTGGTTTGGGGACAGTGATATAGAACAAAAACCAAAACCAAAGCAAAAAATCACACACACACAAAAGCAGTCGCCAGGGACATCCAGTCAGGCAGGAACCAGCACGTGTCCCTTTTCACATCAGGAGTGGTTTCAGCAGAAACTGGTGACAGCCTGTAGGACAGAAGTCTTGCTTATTCACTGGGAGAGAGCGCCATACTGTGACCAACCCTTTCCCAACCTGCTTGTCCTTTTGTCTAGGCATTTCTTAAGGACATTAGGACTCTGGTGACCAGCAGGTGGCACTAGAATCCCACGGGATACTTTTCTCCAGTTTGCATTCATGGTGTTTTTCAGCCTCCAGAATATTTACTTTTCCAAACGTTGTACATTGTATTACGCCAACTCCTCATGTTAAGGTTGAGAAAACTGGAGCACAGTCGAGGACATAGATGACCCAAGGTCAAATGTGGCATTAGTAACAGCAACAGGAATGAATCTCAAGTTTTCTTGAGGTTCTAGTCTAGTGCTTGAGTGTCTCTCTCTCTCTCTCTCTCTCTCTCTCTCTCTCTCTCTCTCTCCTGTTGCTACTTGGTTTTTATTTACTTTATTTTAATAAAATTTCCTTTATTAAAGTATATTGACAAATAAACTCATAAAAACTTGAGGTGTGCTCTGTGATGACTTGATATACAGGTGTGTTATAAAATGCCTCCAACTACAAAGCTGGTTAGCACATTTATCACCTCAGAGTTACCATTTTTTTGTGTGATGAAGACATTTAAGATCTATACCATTAGCAAATTTCAAGTATACAGTTCAGAATCATGAACTATCATAACCCTGCTGCGTGTTAGCTTTCCCTATTCATATATTACTGAAAGTTTTTGCCCTTCTATCAACATCTCCTCTTTCCCTAAGCCTTCAGCCTCTGGCAGCCGCAATTCTATCCTCTGCTTCTATGAGTTCAACTTTTTAGAAGTGAGCTCATATGGTCTTTCTCTGTCTGATTTCTTTCCCTTAGCATTATACCCTCAAGTTTCATCCACGTTGTCAAGAGTGACAGTGTAATGTTAGATTCGTGGGACTCCAGTAGACCTCCAGGAGCCGAATCCGAAGCAATCACACTAGAGTCTTTATTGCAAGCTGGAGCCTGGATGCAGCAGTCCAGGGGGGTGAGTCCCGGTCCTTTGTCCAGTGAGATTTTATAGATTTGGGGGGTATACAACATCACAACGTCACACAGCAAATCATCACACACCGCGGGAAAGTTAAACAACTCTTAACATTGATTAGCAGATTCACTGGCGGGAGCAAGTTGGGGAGGGGTGATTGGTTAGTGCAAGAGGGGGATTCCTTTGAACTGATTGGTTTAGGCCACGAGGGGTGTACGTGCTAAACTACATGGTTTCCCAACACGTTATCAACCACCATAAACTACTGGGAGGGTCATCTGGCATCCCAGGTATTTCCCTGTCTCATGCTGATTGGTGGCTGCTAGGGGGTTGCTATGGGCCCTCACCTAGCCTGACCGAGTCAGGGACACCTGGTGCTGCAGATCTCTCCTGTTATTTACAGACAAACTCAACAGGGTGGGTATGTGACTAGGAGTGCTCTGTGGGTTTTTCCCAGGACAAGGGTCATGCCCCCTTCCTTAGGACAGGCTTCACTCTGAGGTAGAAGCTGGTTTCTCAAAAATGGAGTGACATCAGTTTCTTAACAGGATTTTGTTTGTCACTGAATAATAGTCCATTACTCATACACAAACACACATGCACAAATTACCGTTTTTTTAATTCATTCATCTGCTGATGGACACTCGGGTTTCCATATCTTGCTACTGGGAATAATGCTTCAATGGATATAGGAGTACAAATATGCCTTCAAGAAACTGATTTTGTTCCCCTTAGTTATACAACCAGAAGTGGATTTGCTGGATCATAGGGTACTTCTATTTTTAATTTTTGAGGAAAATCTACACTGTTTTTCAAAATGGTTATACCGATTTACATTTCCACCAACAGCGTACAGGGGTTCTCTTTTCTCTACTTATTCCCCAACACTTGTTCTCTCTTGTCTTTTTGAGGATAGCCATTCCAACAGGTGTGGGTGATAGCTCAGTATGATTTTGATTTGCATTTCCTTGATGATTACTAATGTCGACACCTTTACAGCACCTGCTGGCCATTCACATATCCTCTTTTGAAGAAATGTCTATTTAGGTTCTTTCCCCTTCTTTCAGTTGGGCTGTTTTCTTGCTGAAAATTGAGTTGTTCACATTCTTATGTATTTTGGATATTAATCCTCTGTAAGATACATGGTTCACAAATATTTTCTCCCCGTCTACAGGTGGCCTTATCATGGTTTCCTTTGCTATGCATGAGTTTTTTAGTTTGATGTAGTCCCATTTCTTCATATTTGCTTTTGTTGTTTTACTCTTGGCGTCATATCCCAACATCATCCTGCAGGCAATGACAATCATCCTGCAATCAATGGACTCGGTGGCACACACCTAATCCTAGCAGTTTGGGAGGTTGAGGCTGGGCCTGGGTAAGGATTCCAAGTTAGAGGCCAGCCTGGGCAATTCAGTGATACTCCTCCCCTCAAAAACAGTAAGGGGAGGATGTAGTTCAGAGGTAGGCACCCTTGGGTTCAATTCCCAGTAGAAGGAGGAAGAGGAGGAGTTTTTCCCCCAAGTTTTTTTTGGGGGGGTACCAGGGATTAAGCCCAGGGGTGCTCAACCACTGAGCCACATCCCCAGCCCTGTTTCATATTTTATTTAGAGACAGAGTCTCACTGAATTGCTTATGGCTTTGCTAAGTTTCTGAGGCTGGTTTTACACTGAAATCTTTAATTTATTTTGAGTGAATTTTTGTGAGTGGTCTTAGCCCAGATGATGCACACAGGATGAGGTGGATGTCAGATCAGGCGAGGCGGGCAGCAACCAAAGGAGGCAGATTCTAAAAGTCAGGAGATCTTGCTGATTGACAGGTGTTTCCGCTGGCGCCTGGTTGATGTTCCTTTCCCCCATGGGCTGCTTTGTTCTAAGTCGCCACCAAGTCGCCACCACGGAACTAACCGCGAAGACAGAAAGCAACCCTCGGATTAACTCAGCTGCTGAGAACACCTGGCATGGCTCCTCTGGGGCAGAAAATGGGAGCGGGCTAAACAAGGGTCAGGGTTATACAGGTTTTGTTGTATTGGGGTCTGCTGATTCTTTAGGGTGGGAATAGGAAATTTCCTGGGGCTTATTATATTGGGATCAGCTGACCCATTAGGGTGGGGGTCCAGCTGACCCATTAGGGTGGTGGGGGGGTCCAGCTGACCCATTAGGGTGGGGGTGGGGTGCTGGTCAGGTTCGAGTTCCTTTTGTGTTCCTTCACTCTGGCTGAGGCCTGGGATTTTAAATGGCAAAAGCTTAGGGAAAATGTCCTTGGACTTTTCTTTCCCTGTCCTTCCAGTAGCGGGCATGGAGCAGAAAGCCTCTTTCCAAGGCTACATTCCAGGTGTACCCAAGGATGGGGGGTCCCAGGGCGCCCTGGTGGTGTGTTAGAATTCACTTGTTACCTGGGAGTTCTTCACTTCCTAGATCCTCTGGCAGGCCTCTCCATCCTGTGGAGCTCCCATAACTCCAGGGAATCTTGTTCCCTGCCTCCAGGTTAGGAAGGAGAAGGAGAATAGGAAAAAGAAATGGTTCCTTTACAAAAAATAAGCCTCAGAGCTATATTCAAAAGGAGAGGTGCACCCTTAACACAAAGAAGGGTTTGTCGCTGACTGAGCACTGGAGGAGACACATTGTGAACTTAAATTCCAAGGAATTAAGAGACAGGAAATGTTGGGTTTGAACTCCAAGGGAGAAGAAGGAGGAAAGTATCTAAAGACCAAGAAAATAGAAACTCACAATCTGGGGTCCTGCAAGTCCAGAAGTTGTTTGGTGTTGGGGGAATTTACCACATCTCCGGGGTCCTATTTAAATGGGGTTTGTGTCGAGTGGTTGTATTCAATATCAGCTTTCAGAAAAACAGAGGAGAATTTCTGTTTCAAATCTTCATCTTGGAGGGGAGGTGTCTGGGCCCTGGAGAGCCTTAATAAGAGACTGTAGGGGCCCCGCAGGCAGGAAGTACACATGTGCAGCGTTAGGAGCCAGGGGACCTGTGGTCAGCTTCCTGGGCATCTGTCCTTGCTTGAGGGCATTTCTTGCTCTCAGAGTGAGGAAGTTCAGCAATGTTTTAGTGGGGCACAGGACATCTGAAGCGGGGGCAGAAGAAGGTGGGGTGGGTGAAAGCAAAGTGAACAGGAGAACAGACAACGGGTACTGACTGTTGGTGCAGGGTGGGGGAAGGAGGGGTGAGGGGATGGAGAGTCTGTTCAGCTGAAATTTTTTCAGGTGGTGATTTGAAGTTGGGTGAGATGGGAGCATCCACTACAATTGGGACCACTCTCTTTCCCCCTTTTATTTTGGTACTGGGAATTGAATCCAGGGGTGCTTTACCACTGAGACACATCCCTAGCCATTTTTCTTTTGAGACAGGGTCTCACTAAGTTGCTTAGGGTCTTGCTAAATTGCTGAGGTGGGCCTTGAATCTGCAACCTTCCTGCCTCAGCCTCAGGAGTCTTTGGGATTACAGGTGTGAGCCAGTGTGCCTGATGTCCCAGACATTTTCCATTTTGCTTTTATTAGTGCATGATGGTCATACATAATATAGTCAAAATAATATTCATGTGGCATAATCATACATGCATGGGATTTAATTTAGTCCATTTCAGTTCCCAGTGCCCACCCCCTATCCTCCCCCTCCTCACTCTTCCTATTTCCCTTCCTCTGCTCTACCCGTGTTCCTTCCACTCATTTATTTATTTTTAATTGGTGCTTTACAGATATCCATAGAGGTGGCATTCGCTGTGATTTATTGATACATGCACATATGGTAATGTTGTCAAATTCATTCCACATTTCCTCCCCTTTCCTGTCCCTCTTTTCTTGCTTCCCAATCTCCTTCTTCCACTCCACTGACCTCCCCTCTATCTTCATGATATCTGACCTCCCTTGTTCTCCACCCCCTTACTTTGCTCAGCTTCCTCATATGAAAGAAAGCATTCAATCTTTGACTTTCTGAGTTTGGCTTATTTCACTTG